GGGGCACGAGCCCTTGTCCCCTGCGTCGGCAGGCGGCCTCTCAACCACTGCACCACCAGGGAAGCCCCTGTGGATCCTTCTAGACAGTTCTGTGCACAGACAGGCAGTTCTGTGTGTCTCTGTATTTCTCGCTGTCTGGCTGCTGTGTGAACGGTTCATACTGTTCACGCCCTTCTGTATCTTGTGCCATATCAATGCGTACCTTGAAAATTACAGTACATACAAAGCTGCCCCTTTCTTTCATTCTCTTCAACTTTTAAATTTATTTCTTTCTTTGTTTGTGGCTGCGTTGGGTCTTCGTTTCTGTGCGAGGGCTTTCTCTAGTTGCGGCGAGCGGGGGCCACTCTTCATCGCGGTGTGCGGGCCTCTCACTATCGTGGCCTCTCCCATTGCGGAGCACAGGCTCCAGACGCGCAGGCTCAGTAATTGTGGCCCACGGGCCCAGTCGCTCCGCGGCACGTGGGATCCTCCCAGACCAGGGCACGAACCCGTGTCCCCTGCATCAGCAGGCAGACTCTCAACCACTGCGCCACCAGGGACGCCCAGTTCTCTTCAGCTTTTTAGTGTGAAATCTCCAAGCGTGTACAAGAGTGGAAGGACTAGTATGATGAGCCCCCACGTACCTGAGACCCAGTTTGGAGCAAATCTCAGATCTCGCATCATCTCGGCCTCAATATTTCACTGTGCGGGTCTGAAAGATCCTGAGTCTGGGGGATTTTGGGGGTTGTTTGTTTTCTTGGCCACGCCCCGAGGCTTGGGGAATCTTACTTCCCTGACCAGGGATCGAGCCCGTGCCCGCTGCAGTGGAAGCACAGAGTCCTAACCACAGGACCACCAGGGAAGTCCCTGGGGTTTTTTTTTTTTTTTTTTTTTTTAAGAATAGGATTCTGAAAACATAACTGCAGTACCACCACTGTCACTAAAGAGTGTATCATAACTCCAGAGTGTGCTCCGGTCCGTGTTCCCATTTCCCAGGTTGTCTCCTAAACAGCTTTTACAGTTGGTTGTTCACATCGGGCTCCAGCCAGGGTCCGTGTGCGTGTTTGATTGACGTGCACTTCACTTGCCCATGACAGCTCCTGGAGAGGGAGGCGGGGTGGGCCTGTGTCCCGGCCTTGCTGGGGGAGCCGGTGGGCCCTCTTCTCGGCCGCCTGCCCAGCGGTGTCAGGCCTGCTCCTCTGCCCACCTTGGAGTGGCCGCATGGCTGCAGCCCCAGGCAGTTGCAGGTCTGGGGGACCGAGCCGTAGCCTGTGCCCACAGGGTCGTCTCCTATCAGATCCGATACGAGGGAAACGTGACCGAAGAGACCAGAATCAAGTTCATGACCGATGGCGTCTTGCTCAAGGAAATCCAAAAGGTTGGTTGCTCATCTGGTGTCACAAAGCAAGGCTGGTAAGCCTGGGGGCGGGGGGCTAGGCTGTCACCTGGGGTGGGAGCAGTGAATGTTGGCAGAGCACTGTGTTTACCACCGTGCTGCTGTGTGACCTTGTGCAAGTTACGCAACCTCTGTGATCCTTGGTTTCTCCATCTGCAAGCTGGTACCTTCCTCCTAATTGCTTTGAAACAAAAATCGTGTGACGCACGAAAGCACCTTAGCACACCACCTCGTAAGTGCTCATTAAACGTGAACTTGTATTTTCAGTGTGGTTTTGTTCACAGACTGTGTGTTAGCCAAATGCACACTGCTTCTCTTGGGCTGTATGACGTCCCAGAGGGCAGAGGTGACTCCTGCCTCAAGGCCACCTGGGACGGTGGCTGTGTGTTGTGGCGCCGATGGCCCCTTCCTGTACCGCACGTGCTGAGCTCTTGCCCCTGGTCCCCACCCAGCATCCCCTCGTTCCTGTTTCCTGCCTGCCCTCCCCGCCCCATGGGCATCTGCATTTGGTAGCTCAGCTCTAATAGATTGTAGCTGCCTTTTCTCTAGAAATTTCTCTGCCAGGGCCCAGGCCCCATGCTGTGTACTTAACAGATAGTAATTGTCATCAAAACTTCACCGTGATCCCGTGAGATGGGTCCCGTTGTCCCATTTGACAGATGAAGAAAGAGGCCTGGGAGGTGAAGCAACTGGCCCGGGGTTGTAGGCCAGGACTCCCCGCAGGCCAAGTGCTCTCGGATCTGTGCCGGCTACCAGAGGGGCTCCTTGAGCAGGCACTTTGGGGTGCACAGTGACCTTGGGGTGCTCAGGCCCGGCTGGCTGACCTCATCCCCGACCTCCCCCGCCCCCAGGACTTCCTGCTGCTCAAGTACAAGGTGGTGGTCATTGACGAAGCCCACGAGAGGAGTGTGTACACCGACATCCTCATCGGCCTCCTGTCCCGCATAGTGTGTCTCCGGGAGAAGGTAGGTGAGGGTGCCGGGGAGCCCCAAGTCCCAGGCCACGGCTCCCACAGCCCACGGCGGTCTACACCCGGGCTGCTGCCGTGAGAGGGCCTCCCGGGACAGGACCCCCCAGGCCCGGTGCTGGGCTGCGGGTCTTGGTGTAAACAGACCCTGTGTGATCCCCGTCCTGGGTCCAGCCTCATCCGCTGTGACCCTTCCCTCTGTCCAGAGCAAGAGGCTCAAGCAAGGAGACCGTGGTAGGCCAGGCTCCACTGCAGCCAGCTCTGAGACGCTAGCCAGGTCTTTGGAACTCGCAGCGCTGGTGGGGCCACCCAGCCAAGCCCTTATGCTCCACGTGCTCTGAGATGCTTGCCCTGTGCCCGACCTGGGGTCTGCCTCTGCCTGCATCTCCCCCACCCCAGATCAGGCAGGGGCGGATGTCAGAGGAATGCTGCCCTGGAGTGGGAGCTCTGTGGAACAGTCCTATTCTGGCCCCCGCCAGTCCTGCCGAGAGGTTGGCACTTTACCACGCCCAGTTCTTAGAAGTGCAGAACCTTTATCAAATGGACATCAGGTCTGTGTGTGCTGTGTGCCAGGCGCCAGGCACATCGCAGTGAACAGGACAGAAGTTCCTGCCTTTGTGGGGTTTCCATTTTCTTGAGGGCAACTGACAGTAAGCAAGCTCAGAAAGCCTGTGAGCTGGTGACGGACAAAGCCGGGGCGAGGGGGCAGTACCAGGCAGAAGGTGGAGGGTTGGTAGTGAGAGAAGACTCACTGAGAGGGTGACCTTTGAGTGGGGGGCTGGAGGAAGTGAGTGAGTGAGGAGGGGTACTGGTGGGAGGAGTTTCTGAGAATTGAGAATAGCCGGTGCAAAGGCCCTGGGGCAGATGTTGGCCTGATATCTTGCGGCGGGGCGGCGGGGGGGGGGTTGTGACTTTATTTTACACAATGGATGCACTTACAGTGTACGATTCAGTGGTTTTTAGCATATTCAGAGTTGCTATATCACCACCACGATCGACTTTAAAATATTTCTGTCACCCTGAAAAGAAACCCTGTACCCTTCAGCTGCCATCCCCGTCCTCCTACACCCCCCATCTCAAGGCATCCACCAGTGCACTTTCTGTCTCTATGGATTTATCTATTCTGGATATTTCATGTAAGTGAAAAGACACACATGTGGCCTTTAGTGATTGTTTTCTTTCACTTAGCACATTTTCAAAGTTCATCTCCATTGTGGCCTGTGTCAGTGCTTCATCCCTTCTTATGGCTGAACCATCATGTGTGGAGGGACCACATCTCGTATGTCCATTCATCTGTTGGGGGAGAGTTGGGCTCTTTCCGCGTCTTGGCTCTTGTGAACGTCCGTGTCCGGGTCTCCATGTGAACTTGTTTCCTTTCTCTGGGGTCTGTGCCCAGGAGCAGAGCTGCCAGGCCCCATGGGAGCTCTGTGTTGAACCATTTCGACCATCCCAGACCATCTTCCGCAGCGGCCGCGTCCCTTATGTTCCCGCCAGCAGGGTACAGGCTGTCAGTTCACGTCCTCGCCCACGCTTGGGACTTCCCATGATTTTAGTCCTCACCATGGTCTGGATTTGTGTGTTGAGGGCTGTCAGGCAGCCTAGGGTGGCGGAGCGGAGTGAGGGAGCTGGGGAGAACAGGAGATGCAGGGAGGTTCGTGGGGTGGGGCAGACAGGGCAAGTTGTTGCAGGAAGGAGACGGGGCCTTTGGTCTGCGCTGTGCCTCTCACCTTGGCTTCTGTTCACCGAAAACGCTGAACTTTGGGGTTTGGACCGTAAGAGCCTCAGAGGACAGCTTCCAAGGGCTCGAGGGCAGAGTCCACCAGGGGGCACAGTAGCTGCTGCCCAGGGGGCTGGGAACCAGGCACCCGCCACCGCAGTCACAACGTCAAGGGGGAGGGAGGGCTGAGACCACCACACCCATTGTGCCGGTGTGCCAGGTGGACCCCAGGCTCAGCCCTCCTGTCTCGTCTCACAGCATCAGAGCTTGACTCAGGGGAATCTTTTTTTCATTCCTTTTGGCCACGCCGCATGGCTTGCAGGGATCTTAGTTCCCTGACCAGGGATTGAACCCACGCCCTCGGCAGTGAAAGCACCAAGTCCAAACTACTGGACCGCCAGGGAAGTCCCTCGGGGCTATCTTTTTTTTTTTAATTAATTAATTAATTTGTTTATTTTTGGCTGTGTTGGGTCTTCATTGCTGCGCACGGGCTTTCTCTAGCTGCGGCGAGCAGGGCTACTCTTCATTGCCGTGCATGGGCTTCTCATTGCGGTGGCTTCTCTTGTTGTGGAGCACGGGCTGTAGGCGCACGGGCTTCAGAAGTTGTGGTGCACGGACTCGGTAGCTGTGGCGCACGGGCTTAGTTGCTCCGCGGCATGTGGGATCTTCCCGGACCAGGGCTTGAACCCGCGTCCCCAGCATTGGCAGGCGGACTCTCAACCACTGCACCGCCAGGGAGGCCCCTCGGGGGTGTCCTAAGGGCTCCTTTACAAGCCACTGCCGCCCACTTCTTCCACGTTTTCTTAGACCTTGGCAACCAGGAAGAGGATTGAGGATTGGGGCGGGGTGGGGCTGGAGGGAGGCCAGGAGGGCAGGGCAGGTCTCCCCCAAGGGCCCCCCCCCCACCCCCCATCAGTGTTCCTGGCCCCGGGCGGCTCTGGGCCCCCGGGTCTGTCGTCCCCCAGAGGCACTTGCCGCTGAAGCTGCTCATCATGTCGGCCACGCTGCGGGTGGAGGACTTCACCCAGAACCAGCGGCTCTTTGCCCAGCCGCCCCCCGTCATCAAGGTACCGCCCAGGCCAGGGTCTCAGGGCGCCGGGGGAGGTGGGTGGGATCGTAGCACCAGACGGATACCTTCGTGGTCAGAGAGTTCAAGGAAGGGGAGGGCCCGGGCCTGGGCTCAGGTCACCCCTGACCCCCGACCCCGACCCCGTGCTTCCCTGGGCGTCCTCGTAGGTTGAGTCCCGGCAGTTCCCGGTGACCGTGCATTTTAACAAGCGGACGCCACTGGAAGACTACAGTGGGGAGTGCTTCCGGAAGGTCTGCAAGATCCACCGCATGCTGCCCGCAGGTGAGGCCCTGGGCAGGAGGAGGCCAGCGCTCCCCTTGCAGACCCGGAGGTGCAGGCAGCAGGGACTCAGGTGGTCACTTGGCCTCGCTGTGCCTCAGTGTCGTCACTGGTCCCAGAGCGCTCACAGCACCTGCCCTGCCATGTTCCGCCCCAAGGATTGCGAGGCTTCAGGGACTAACTGGGTAGGGGGTGAGGGGGTGGAGGGTGCCTTTTGTCCCCACAGACGCAGGGCAGGTGAACAGGTGTGTCCCACCTGAGTCTCACTCCTGACCCCCTCACAGTTCTCACCATATCCCCGTGGCACGTGCTCCATTAGTTCCGTTCACCAGGTGATGGACCCTTGGGTTGCTCCCACTTCCCCGGAGGAGAGGTGCTTTCCCCGTGTTTTGGGCTCATGGCCGGGGCGGGATGCCAGCTCCCACGGCAACTGTTGAGCTCCTTGTCCCAGTGCCCTCGGTGTGCGGGCAGCTGCCTGTTGCTCGTCTGGGCCTCTGCAGCCCTGGTTTGATCAGCACTTCCTTGCACCCCAGCTCTCAGATCAAGGCCTGGCACACGGTCACGGCCAAGGCAGCGTCTGCTGGGTGAACGAGCGGGTCATGGCGGGGCTGGTTCTCCCCACAGGCGGCATCCTGGTGTTCCTGACAGGGCAGGCAGAGGTGCACGCGCTGTGCCGCAGGCTGAGGAGAGCCTTCCCGCTTGCCAGGCACAGGCCTCCAGGTAACCCCAAGCTGAAGCCCCTCACCCAAGAGGCTGCGGGCGGTCAGCCTGGGCTTCGGAGCCTCCCCCAAAAGAGCCAGCCCTTTGCCCGCCCTCCCGTCCCCCCAGTGAATGGTGATCGATGCAGTGACCTTACCCTGGACCCCGATGACCTGGCACCAGCCACAAGATGGCCTTCTCCCTAACGTGCTCATCTTTTCCCAGAAAAAGACGATCAGAAAGATTCGGTAGAAGAAACGCGGAGGTTTAAGAAGTCGCAGGCTCGGGCGAGGAAGGCCAAGGCCACGGTACGTAGAGGCCGGAGGGGGCAGCTCAGGCTCTGCAGCCGCCTTGTCCATGTGCTGGCCGCTAGCCCTGTATGGCTGCACAGATGTAAATTTAATTAAAACCAAATAAAATTAAGATTCAACTCCTCAGTCGTGTTAGACACATTTCAGGTGCCCAGTGGCCACCTGGGGCTGTGGGTGGCCTTGTTGGGCAGCTGGGGTCTAGAACCTTCCTGCCGTGGAGGGAGGGGTTGACTGGTGCTGCTCCGGAGGCTGCAGCGTGGGCTGCGACTTAAAACATTCCAGGCTCCCTGTACTGGGGGCCTGGAGGAAGTTTCTTGAAGGCCCAGCCCCGAGCCCTGAGCAGGGCCTGCATGGATGCCCAGGGAGGGTCAGACAAGGGAAAGGGGCCCCTCGTGCTTGCTGAAGAGCTGGGGGGCGGGTACGGCCCGGCCGGGCGTGGGGGGCAGTCGCCCCAGGGCATCTGCAGGACGTCACTTCTGCTTTTACAGCATGCCAGGCAGGGGTCTCAGGACTGCACATGTATTAGCTCGTAGCATCCTCACGGCAGCCCTTCGAGAAGTCCCGTGATCGTTCCCAACTCTTAGATGAGGATACCGAGGCAGGACGGGGTCGAGTGACCTGCCCAGGGTCACGTGGCCGCGGGCGCTGCTCGCAACGCCGGTCTCTTGCAGCCCATGGTGCTGATGTCTTGTTTACCGTAGACGCTGCCCCAGATCAGTTTGGACAATTACTCGGTGTTGCCAGCGGGCGGAGGTGACGAGGACAGGGAAATGGACGAGGAGTCGCTGGGCTCCGACCTGGACCTGGACTTAGGGGACGACGGGACGGACGGAGGTGGGTGGGATCCGCTGCGGCCTCTGCTCCCACCGCGTGGGCTTGGGTCGGGCGATGGGCCCTCTCCAGCAACGAGCCCCAGGGGAGCTGGGGTTCCTGCTTGCTCTGCCCCCTGCTGTCTCCTGAGCTCCTGAAACCACCTGGCACAGAGGAGGCCCTCAGGTCTCTGTTGTGCTGGTTGTAATGGGGGCGCCACCCGCGGGCTTGGCTTTGCTGGGTGAACGCAGGCCTTGGGGGTTTGCGGCGGGGGGGCAGAATCAAGCCCTTAGTGGTCCCCACACAG